GGAAGGAAAATTTGTTTACACTGGAATACGAGTGTAAGAGTACACCGTCCAAAACTTAGGTAGAAAGAAAGGATTATCTTTTGAATAAGTTTAAGTCAATTTGAACGAATTTTCTTCCAAACTCTATACACCTTTTAAGAAATTTAAGAAAAGAGAATGTACATATCCTTGGACATGAGAACAACAAGCTAAGGATTCAGTTTATAAATTTGATTGAGTTATATTGATCTTTGTTATATTGACATTTTTTCGTGTGCCACATTTTTGAGAATTAATTGAGTATGATGGGGTTAGATCGGTCGCCGAATAGGGGAGTCGGAAGTGCCTCAAATTCTTTGTGTTCTCTTTCTCGGAAAGTGTGAATCGAGTGATGGTCACTCCAAGCCCAGCTCAGCCCCAGCTCCAAGATCAGGTGCCAAGAGTTTTTGATAGAGTCGAAACTCCACGCTCTCCTGCTTCCCAACGCATGGTTGCATCTGAATTACTAACGCGGCCAGATAAAGTGGTTCATACTCTCAATGGCTGGAAAATTAAATTTTCTGGAGAAAGTATGTCTGTTGGCAATTTTATTTATAGGGTCGAAGCCCTCACAAGGCAAATGCTGGACGAAGGGAAAGCCAACGAGTTTTATTGGCGGTACCATAAGGCGTACGGTGAAATCTCTTGGGAGGATTTTTGTGCAGCCTTACGACTTCAATTTAGACACAGTAGAGATGATAATGACATAGAGGAAATTATTAGAATGACAAAACAGAAACCAAACGAATCCTTCGATAGCTTCTACGACACCATATCAGGACTAATTGATCAGTTAGAACAGCCTTGGGTGTCAAGTAAACTTGTCCGAGTACTTAAAAGTAATCTTCGTCCTGAAATTCGGCATGAAATCCTGAATCTGGAAATAAAAACGGTGTCCGAAATAAGGGAGATTTGTAGGCGTCGCGAAGCATTTCTCGCTGATGTCAAGAGATGTAGTGGGTACACTAAGGTTGTTCCTTTTAGGCGTGAAGTGGCTGAATTTGGAGATGAAATGGTAGATCTCCAAGAATCAGAACCTGAGGGTGAGGCAGAAATCGAAGCCTTTTCCTTAAAGTGCTGGAACTGCCAAAGCGAAGGACATAGGTATCAGGATTGTCTCTCAGAAAGACGTGTTTTTGTTACGGATGCGGTGCGCCTAACACGTACAAGCCAAGTTGCAGTAAATGTTCAAAAAACTTCAAGCAAGGCATATCGAAGTCGCTATACAAACAGAAGTCTTCATATGCCAGTCGAAATTACAATGACCGACCAATAGAGGACACTCTTCAAAGTGTATCTCTCTCTTCCCCAGACGAACAAATAGTCCCAGATAGCTCTCTGCTTCACAGCAAAATTTCAAAGTTATGGGACGTCGCAATCCATGAAGTACAAAAGATAGCTAACGTAGCTAAACGGAATTCACGAAGGTTAAAAGCGTTTTGGAAAAATGTGAAAAGCTGCAAAGATGCATTAATTCCATACCTGCAGGATCTAGAGATCCACGACCGTTTCTACCGGTTCGATTGCTCGATCGCGTTGTATACGGTTTGTTAGATTCGGGAGCTTCGATTAGTTGCCTAGGAGGAGAATTAGCTAAGGAAGTGATAAAGAATAAGGAATACCGAGCCATAAAAGGCAGCGCTGCGACAGCAGACGGGAAATCCCAAAATATAGTAGGAGTTCTAAACATTGACGTAGAATACGGCAATGATAAGAAGCCTTTAAAACTTTATGTCGTACCTTCACTTAAACAAGATTTATATCTTGGCATAGACTTTTGGAAGTTATACGATCTTCTTCCAACACATTTAAAAATATCGGAGATAGAATCGGCTAAGGTAGTCCGCCCAGACGAGGTGGATCAACACGATTTGTCGGAAGTCGAAAAAACTAAATTGGCAAATACCATAAATTGTTTTCCTTCGTTTACTCAGGAAGGATTAGGCAGGACAAATTTGATAACTCACACTATTGATGTAGGAATGGCGAAGCCCATCAAACAGCGGCATTTCCCTGAATCTCCCGCAGTTGAAAAGGCAATGTATACTGAAATTGACAGAATGTTGCAATTGGGAGTGATAGAGGAATCAGAGAGTGCATGGTCCTCCCCAATCGTAATGGTTACTAAACTAGGGAAAGTTAGAATATGTTTAGATTGGCGGAAAGTCAATAGTTTCACGGAAAAGGACGCGTATCCTCTTCCCCAAATAAATGGAATTTTGAGCCGATTACCAAAAGCAGAATTTATAACTAGCTTAGACTTAAAGGATGCTTATTGGCAAGTGCCTTTAGATGTTCAGTCGCGCGATAAGACTGCGTTCACGGTCCCAGGTAGACCGTTATACCAATTTAAGGTAATGCCGTTTGGTTTATGCAATGCTACGAGCACCATGTCTCGTTTAATGGACAAGGTAGTGCGAACTCACATGAGGAATGAAGTTTTTATATATTTAGATGATCTTCTAATAGTATCTGCAAGTTTTGAAGATCACCTCGAAGTTCTCAGGGAGTAAGCATTGCACATTAGCCGTGCAGGTTGACAATCAACATTGGCAAAAGTCACTTCTGCATGCGGAAAGTGCGTTTTCTAGGTCATATAATAGGTGACGGCGGAATCCGTACAGACCCAGAAAAGGTGTCTGCGATTACCAACTTTCCTTTACCAAAAAGCTTAAAGAATTTGAGAAGCTTTATGGGGATGTGTGGATGGTATCGGAAATTCGTGCCAAATTTTGCGTCTCTCTCTGCTCCTTTGACGGACTTGATGACGACAAAACGAAAGTTAATCTTGACCGAAGAGGCTATAAGAGCGTTTGAGAGGCTTAAGCAGTGTCTTAGTGAAGCTCCTGTTTTATGTAGTCCAGACTTCGCGAAGCCGTTCGCTATACACTGTGATGCCAGCAAAACAGGCGTAGGAGCTGTATTAGTCCAGGTTTCAGACGAAGGCGACGAGAGACCGATTGCTTTTATTTCTAAGAAATTGAGTAAAGCTCAGAAAAACTACACAGTCACTGAACAAGAATGTTTAGCTGCTATCGTCGCTTTAAAGAATTTTAGAGCGTATGTGGAGGGTTTGAAATTCAAGATAATTACAGATCATGCTTCTTTAAAGTGGTTGATGTCGAACCACGATTTAAGTTCCCGATTATCTCGGTGGTCGTTAGCGTTACAAAGATACGTTTTCGAGATCGAGCATCGCAAGGGTTCACTACACGTTGTCCCCGACGTTATGTCTCGTGTGAACGAAGAGGCAGTTACTGCCATAGATTTGACGGAAGGACTTATTATTAATCTGAACTCCGAATCATTTAAAACGGAGGAGTATAAGAAGTTGATAAATTTCCCGGATCTTAAAGTGGAAGACGGTTATTTGTATCGTAAAGCGGAACACTTAACCGGGGAACAGATGCATGATGAATACGCACGGAAGCTTTGGTTACCAAAGGAATTAGTGCCCAAAGTTCTTTCTCTAGCTCATGATAGCTCCTTGGCCTCACATGGAGGCGTACACAAAACTATCGAGAGGATTAGGCGATACTATTTCTGGCCTGGTCTCGTTTCAGACGTAAGAGCCTATATAAGCGCTTGTGAGGTTTGCAAATGCACGAAAGCACCGAATTGTGTTCTCAGACCTCCTTTGGGAAGAGCACCGGAGACTCAGCGGTTCTTTCAAAGTCTTTTCGTTGATTTTCTCGGGCCTTATCCCAGATCGCGAAGTGGAATCGTCGGCATTTTTATCGTCCTCGACCATTTCTCAAAGTTTGTTTTCCTTAAACCTGTGAGGAAAATTGATTCAAGCGCAATTGTGAAGTATCTAGATAGTGAACTGTTTATAACTTTTGGAGTCCCTGAAACAATGGTGTCAGATAATGGGTCCCAATTTCGTTCGAAAACATTTCGAGGATTAATGCAGGAATATAGCATTAATCATATTCTGACTGTTGTTTATTCACCTCAGGCTAACGCCTCGGAGCGAGTAAATAGATCGGTCATATCCCTCATTAGAACGTATATACGCCCGGATCAGAAGGATTGGGATGAAGTTCTGAACAGGATATCCTGCGCGCTGAGGTCTTCCATACACTCCAGCCTTGGAACAAGTCCGTACTACATGGCTTTTGGACAGCATATGGTTACCTCTGGTTCGACCTATTCTCTGCTCCGACGTTTAAATCTTTTGAACGATCGTTCGCTACGATTTGACAGGCAGGATTCTTTCGAAACAAGAGGAGAACAAGAAACGCTATGATCTCCGTACTCGTAATGTCACGTATACTGAAGGTCAAGAGGTATATCGACGTAACTTTAAGCAAAGCTGCTTTCAAACGGGATTGTTCGGTCAAACTTTGTTATTCCCTTAGTATTTTCTTGTATACATATCAGAGACTGTTAACTTTCTGTAATTTATTATGTTACGATAGTCATGTTATGCTAGCTGCCCTTTGCGCAGCCGAATAATCGATCAGTACGAATGAAACAGCGAAACGAAGAACACTCTCTTTAATCGGTACAGACTTTTCACGCCCCATTTTTCACACCGCCCAGATCCTAGTTTCATGTCACCACAAAAACGCTTGTGGATGCAACATTTTGGCGCCCAACGTGGGGCAGTGTGTTAAATAAACATTTAAATAAACTAATAAACTTACAAATTACACGTACCAAAAGTCTTATCGTTCTCGCGCGTTCCGTACGCACACAGCTGCACACCTACGCATACGATCACAAGTGCGAGCAGTCAAGTGTCGCTAACAAACGGGACAATTCTTCGATTTCGCTTTGCGTTTGAAATTCGGCTCATCACTTAAACCGAAATTGAAAAGGGATCATTGCTTGCAGTTCTTTCGTTTTCGCTAATTTCTTCAACTGTGTAGCCGCTTGTCGCTCAACAAATCTGTCGCTTTCGGAATCTAACGGCAAGTCGTCGCGCTACACCGGTTCAGAACTTTGATACGCTTCAACTTTAACCTTACTGCAACATAATGGTTCCTAGTGTAAGCCAACTTGACGAGGCCAAACGTCAGAGAGCCAATGTCAAACGAAACATTTCGCGAATTAAATCAGTGGTTGACGAACATGTTGAAGAGGAGTCTTTCAACCGCTCTGCCGCTGAACTCCAATGCCGTCTGGGAATTTTGGAATCCTACTTTAAACAGGCGCTAGTGAGGCAAACTAAAATTGAAACTCTGGATTCAGCGGACAACGGGCGTGTTGACATTGAGGAATCATACATAGCGACCAAATTGGCTATCAAACAACTACTCGGTGAAAATCTAAGCAGCACAATGCTCGAATCCAATCCACCGGCACTGCCGCAGTCAAAGCTCCCAAGGCTGCCGCTGCCAACTTTTGATTGTACTCACACGGAGTATAACAACTTCATGACTTCGTTTATGCAGCTTACTGGACGTGAGAATTGGTCATCAATTGAGAAATTCAACCATCTTCTCAACTGTTTGAAAGGCCCAGCACTGGAAGCAGTAAAGGCGTTTCCAGTGACCAGCGAAAACTTTCCCAAGGCTTTGGATAAGTTGAAGGCTCGATACGACAAGCCAGCGCTAATATTTATGGAAACAATAACCACAATCTTTAAATTGCAGCCTGTTAACTCTTCGAATGCACAACAATTGAGAAGCTTGATCGATAATTCATCCGCCCTATTCAGCTCTCTGTCGTCGCTGGGCTCAGATGCACAAATTTCTGAGGCAATGCTGATCTACCTGGTCATGGACAAGTGCGATCAACAAACTCGGAATAAATGGAATGAATCCCTGGACTACTCTTCGTTGCCATCCTGGACCCAGTGCGCTAGTGTGCTCGAACGCCACTGCCAATTTCTAGTATCCAGTGGATCTTCCTCAACTCAACTTCGAAGGCCTGTCCAGGCTAAACCAATATCGGGTGCAATCAACAACGCTCACAACGTATCATTTGCACTCACCAAGACCACATGCGTCTTTTGCTCCAGCGCTGGACACAGACTCATGGGATGCGACCAGTTTCGGAATTTGGATTCACTGCAACGCCTAGAAGTGGTGAAACAACATGCCCTTTGCGTCAATTGTCTGGGCAAGGGACATAAGGTGTCAAATTGCCCGTCGAAAAATCGCTGTCGAAGTTGCAATCAGCCGCATCACACGCTATTGCTATCTCCGAAGTCGTTATCATTACCTTCGACAAGCTCGTCCCACCCCAGCGGAACTGCAGCTTACTCTCAACCACAATTGAACGCAGCACCAAACTACGTGAATGTGCAGCCGTATCCTATCGGAGCTGCAACCCATGCGCACGCTCAATCAGATGCAAGAGGAGGATCACAAGTCATCCTAGCCACAGCAATGGTGCAAGTTCAGGACTCAGTTGGCTCCTTCAGACTCGGGAGAGCGCTTCTCGACTCCTGCTCTCAGGTCAACTTTATAACCGAGGCTTTTGCTCAAAAACTCAGGTTGCCGAGGGACAAGCATAGTGTTCAAATTCGCAGTATCGGCGACTCGAACACGCACATCAAACACCGTACATCAACAACAATCAAATCTCGTCTTTCGCCTTTCGAATTGCCTCTCGATCTCTGCATAACGCCTAACATTGCATATCAACCGGATACCCAAATTGACATCTCGAACTGGAACCTTCCACCCAACACGCCGTTAGCGGACGAACAATTTCATCTTTCCCGAAACGTCGACATGCTGCTAGGTGCAGAGGCATTCTACGATATTCTAGCAGTGGGCCAAGTCAAGCTAGGCTCCAATTTGCCGACTCTCCAAAAGACACTATTCGGTTGGGTAGTAGCGGGAAGCCATCGCCCAAAACAATCAAAGGAGTCCTACGCATATCTGGCTCAAAGCTCTGCACCCATTGATGCAAATCTTAAGCGTCTGTGGGAGGTCGAAACAATCAGCACCTCGGCTGAACGACTTAAGCCAGAACATCAGTTATGTGAGACACACTTCAAGCAGTCAACTCGCTTAGAAGCAAACGGAAGGATCGTCGTTAAGTTACCATTGAAGGATGCCCTACTCAGCTTGGCAATTCGGTTGACATTGCTCGTCGAAGATTTCTCAACGTCGAACGGCGACTTGTACGTTCACCGGAAGTCTACGCTCAATATAGGACGTTCATGAACGAATATGAACAAATGGGTCACATGGAGCTAGTGGCAAATCCCAATTTATCGGCCCCTCACTACTACATTCCTCACCACTGTGTGATAAAGCCAGCCAGTGAATCTACAAAGCTTCGAGTTGTATTCGATGCGTCCTGCAAAACGTCAAGTCAAGTCTCCTTGAATGACATCTTACTTTGCGGTCCCACGATTCAAGATGATCTCTTCATGCTACTGCTACGTTTTAGACTTTCAAGATATGCCCTGACAGCCGACATAGCGAAGATGTACAGGCAAGTAAATGTTGATTTTAGTGACCGCAAATTTCAGTACGTTCTCTGGCGAGATTTTTCAGGCGATCAACTACGCACATATCAGCTTAATACGATCACTTACGGAACGGCTTCCGCACCATATCTCGCTGTACGTAGCCTACACCATTTAGCGGATCTTCATGGCGCTGAATTTCCCATTGGTGCTGACGTTTTAAGGACTTCATTCTATGTCGACGATTTAATAATTGGTGCAGACGAAATATCGACTCTGTCAGTCATAAAGGATCAAGTTACCAAATTACTAGAACGCGGTCAGTTTCCGCTTACCAAATGGCACTCAAATCACATGGAGTTCGTCGAGAGTCGCAACAACAAGGATCTTAATCCATGCACAAACGCTATGACTAGTGCACTTGGAGTCCAGTGGGATCAGATGTCCGATGTCCTACGATTTGCATTTACGCCCAAAACCTTGCCTTGTCTGCACTATACGACCCACTTGGATTGCTGTCACCGCTAATTATCGTCGCCAAGATTATTCTTCAGGAACTCTGGCTAGCAGGATTGAGTTGGGATGAATCGGTACCGCAACACTTGCAAATCGCTTGGAGCAAGTGCTTGGAATCCTTTAGAACCTGTTCAAACCTTTCGGTGCCACGCTATTGTCTACAAGCTCAATACCTATCAGTTCAGATTCACGGATTCTGTGACGCGTCAATCCGAGCATATGGTTCGCCATTTATCTACGCACCGTTGGCATCGACGGAACCATCGGTGTTCAACTGTTTACTTCTAAGTCCAGAGTGGCCCCGGTAAAAAGGAAGTCTCTTCCAAAATTTGAATTGTGCGGAGCGCACTTGCTGGCGCAGTTATATACTAAGGTCCTCCCGATGCTACAGGACAAGCCGTATACCTCATACTTTTGGTCGGATTCCCAGATCGTACTGCATTGGCTACAGGAGCATTCTGTTACACTATCGACTTTCGTAGGGAATCGAGTATCCGAAATACAAGATTCAACATCGACTGGAGAATGGAGATATGTACCCACATCGCTCAACCCAGCTGATATTGTGTCCAGAGGAGCTACAACACACGAACTCCAAGCTTCAATATGGTTTTCTGGACCGCCCTTTCTATCGCAACATATGTCAGACTGGCCTCAGCCTCCCAAGCTGAAGAATCTTGACCAGGAAGTAGTTAATTCAGAGAAGCGAAAAAGCACATTCATAGCCGTTGTGAGGTCAAACCATTTACTTGAAAGGATGGAATCAATCAGCTCGTATACTCGGTGTCTACGCGTAATCGCATGGATGTTCCGCTTCTATCGTCTCACAAGCAAAACGAATAACACCAAAGCGGCTGGATTGACATCGGAGGAACTACAACATGCATCCAACTGTATCATATGGAATCTCCAACAGCAATCGTTTTCAATAGAATTTCCGCTGCTACAAAAATCTCGACCACTGCAAGGACAGCTGAAATTTCTCAACCCTTTTATTCAATCTTCCTCAGGTTTCCAGCTCATCAGAGTCGGCGGCAGGCTCGAAAACGCCAACTTCTCATAAAGTGAGAAGCACCCGATTCTTTTGCCTAAGAAATCGCATATCTCTTGGATATATGTTCGACATCTTCATCTACGAAACTTTCACGCTGGACCGAAAGCTTTGGTGGCACTCAGTCGTTTGGAATTCTGGATAGTCAATGTCAGAGACTTAGCCCGGCGAGTCGTTCGATCCTGCGTATCTTGTGTTCGCTACAAACCGAAACTACAAGAGCAACTGATCACTGCCTGTGGAGCGCCTTTCGCCACAACAACCCTTTTCGAAGTGCGGCGTTGACTTTTGTGGTCCAATCAACACTTATCTTCGCATCCGTGGAAAGGGTCCTGTGAAGTCTTACTTGGCAATCTTCGTCGGTATGGCATCAAAGGCTGTACACATAGAAGTCGTTTCAGAATTATCGACTAAGGCGTTTCTCGCTGCACTCAAACGAATGATTGCTCGACGCACATCGCCCACGGACATTTATTGTGACAATGCCACAAATTTTGCAGGCGCTTCTAACCATCTTCAAGAACTCAAGAAATTCATCTTTGACCGCAACACGCAAGATGCAATTGAATCCTTTTGTTCTTCTGATTTTATTAATTTTCACTTTATCCCCCCTAGAGCCCCACATTTCGGCGGACTTTGGGAAGCGGCAGTAAAAAGTGCAAAAGGACTGCTGAACAGAACTCTTATGAATACGCGGCTCACCTTTGAAGAGCTCACCACCGTGGCAGCTGAAGTCGAGGCCATACTCAACTCACGCCCGTTAACCCCATTATCGCCTGATTCGAGTGATTTTGGAGCGATCACTCCGGGTCACCTCCTGGTTGGAAAGCCGTTGCGTGCCTTGCCGGAACGCCACGTCACCAACATTACCAATCAGCGCTTTGACGTCGTGACGGCCATCAAGCAAGAGTTTTGGCGCCGTTGGTCAGCGGAATACATCAACGAACTGCGAGCCCGCACTAAATGGTCACAATCTTCAACAAACGTCACCGTTGGATCTTTAGTCATCATCCACGACGACAATCGTCCTCCACAGCATTGGAAACTCGGCCGTATTGACTCCGTTGTAGTCGGAAAAGACGGTCTCGTCAGAGTTGCTCAAGTCAGACACACACACCTAACGGCTACTGCTCTCGACCAATACACAAGTTGGCATTAATCCCTACATCTGACCTGAAGGACTGAGAATTTTGAAAGTGGATCCTTTCAAGGGTGCCGGGATGTTCTGTCAAACTTTGTTATTCCCTTAGTATTTTCTTGTATACATATCAGAGACTGTTAACTTTCTAGTATTTATTATGTTACGATAGTCATGTTATGCTAGCTGCCCTTTGCGCAGCCGAATAAACGATCAGTACGAATGAAACAGCGAAACGAAGAACACTCTATTTAATCGGTACAGACTTTTCACGCCCCATTTTTCACACCGCCCAGATCCTAGTTTCATGTCACCACAAAAACGCTTGTGGATGCAACAGGGACATAACGCCAAATTCGGTCCAATGTTTGTAAAATCTCGGATTCGAAGAAAGATCGGTAACCTCTACTATGAACTGGAAGACCTTCAAGGAAAAGTTGTAGGTACATATCACGCTAAAGACATTCGGCAATAGCTTCAGCCGGAATCAGTCTAGGGCATTCTCTCGATTATACCCTAGTCTGATTTTAGCGGGGGGTTTTCTACTGGCGACTGAAGCCTCCAAAATTTAATGGGGGAAAAAAAAAAGAAAATGTTCATTTTGATTTTTTTATATTTGGCGCCAAAGGTACTAAGCTTAGATTACCGATTAGGTAAACTAAGCCGGCCCAGCGATCCGCAAGTGTCCCACGGAGCGCCTCATTCATCCCCTCGAGGGATCGGCAACTCCGCGGGCCAGCATATTTTTTTGGGATGTGAAAGTGGCCAAAAAGCCCTGTGAGAAAATGTGAAATTTAACCTAAAGCCCCAATAAAACCATGTGCACACTGGGAAAAAAATATACGACAAAAACTATAATGGAAAATATAAAATAATAAAGATCAATGCAAGTGATATAAAAACATGAATATTTAAAAAAAAAATGTGTATAAAAACAAAAATTTAATTTTTTTTTGTTATATATAAATTTTTGCGAGTGATATACACTGCAAACAATGAAGTGGAAATTTAAATAAATAAACCTTAAAATATAATGAAGCAAGAACAGTGCTAGAAAAATATTGTAAAAGAAATAAATGAAAAGGTGAAAACAAAGACCTAAAAGAAAAATGTAAAAAAAATAAATAGTTAAAAATGTTAAAAATAAAGAATAAGTTAAAAAAATAAAAAAAAAATTTTATAAATAAAGTCAAAAATGTGAAAATGTGCGGCAAAAATTAGAAAGGCTCTTCGAAATTTAAATTGTTAATTTTTTTTATTTTTTGTTTTTTTTTCTTTTATTTATGTTTTGGTTTTGCATGGGAAAAACCAGTTAGAGATCGAAGTGATAAGAGCATAAGTGCAAGAATGCACAGAAGAGTGCGTTTGTGTGAGTTTGGTTTGATAGAGCAAAGGAACACTGAAAGAAAAGCTCTGATGTTTTACACAAAAAGTTAAATTAATTGCGTCTCAGAAATATCCCAAAATTATGGGAAATGCCCCGAAATTCTTTTTCCAGCTCACCAGCGCCGGGAGATCGATTGTTGTTTTGTTTTTCTAAATTTATATTCAATTTTAACAACAAAAATACCTGCATGCAATTATTTTTTTTTTTTTTTGTGTAATTTAAATTCCTCACAAAAACGAATTTTGCGGAATGGAAAGATGATAAAAGAATCAAAGAACGGTTATATTCACAGCGAGCTTATCTTTTAGTCAGCGAGCTTTTGCTACACTGAGATAAATTTTTGAACGAATTTTATTTAATTTAATATTATTTAAATAAAAATAATTAGAGATGATCAGATGAGAATGAAAATACAAAAATATTATAGCTAAAAGAAAATTTTGAATACACTGAAAAAAAAATGTTTGAAAAATTTTAATATAGGTTTTGAAAAAAAAAAAATATTTTTTTTTAAATATTAAATAAACAACGCTGATTGACAATACAGATTAAATTTATTTTCGAATATTGCCTACCAGGTTTATTGCCACGTTTAGAATAGGAATTTAAATTTTTGTTTACTTTTTAAAAATTAATTATGCCATCATTACTTTAATATTT